TTTGATATTACATATATAGGTACTACATGTGGACTTCTCTCAAATGTGTTCATTTCATGATGATATCTTCAATTCTCTCTCCTTTGTTTTAGCCCATTCATAAATTGTGTCATTCATTCTTTGATGCAACTCGTTTGCGTGAATGTTCTTGTCGGCTAACCCACCAACCATTCCCATCTTACCTCCTCTTCTGGTCTTTTTTCACCCCACTATTGGGCAAAGGACTTCATCCTGTCCCCCATTACAAGGACGAACGTCCACTTTCTGGCTTTTCCTTTGTATGGCATGGCAATTTATGAACACCTTTGCCCAATGCTCACCAGTGGGAGTTTTGAAGGGAGTTTCCTTGCCCAATTTTTCAGTGTGTATTTTTATTGTGTAATCTTTCTATTAGTAGTTATGTTAACACATGTTTTTTATTTCTTTATAGCTGACTAGTTTTAATAAATTGTCTTACTTTTAATCTGGTGTGTTGTAGTGTTTTTACAAATTGAAATGCGCAGTGCTAACAGCGGAGCCATCTCAGTCGAGATACACACCACAGACAAAGTTTAAACACACATAAATTATTTTGGTTATTTGTTTCTACTGCTGTTGTTATTGCAAACATTACCCAGAAAGCATAAATACTTAAGTTGTCGATCAAGACGTGTACACAGTACACATCAGACAAAGTTTATTTAAACAGACATGAATATTTATGGTTATTTGTTTCTACTTTTGTGGTTTTTGTGTACATTACCATAAAGTTTTTTTTAGTTACAGTCTTTTGTCTTAAAGAGTTAGTAGTCATCCTCACTTAAACTCAGTTGTTGACATTGTAGATCAGGCAAAGAAAAATATGTACCAATAACACAACCCCCTCCCTCCTAGTTTTTTGCACCTGACCCTTTTTTAATTATAGAAGATTAGTCAAATTGATCTGAATGAGGGCGCCCTTCAGACAACAACATACCAGGGTATATGACCTTTTTGTTGACCCAACCTTTTTTTTTATAACCCAGTAGTCAAACCACACACATTTTTTGTGGCTTTTGTAAATTTGTTGGAAACGTTTAAGCGACAATATTTGACAATAAATGGGAACTATTTGTCTTTAAACTAACTATCCATGATTTCTTTTTGTGTTGAATTCTTCATCATTTCTGTTGCTAGGATATACTGTCTGCTGCTGACATCATTGTCTGGTCATCACTCTATCCCCTATTGGCTGAAAATACAACACTTCAATCCCAGCATGCATCAGTCAATAAGTGGTTCCAAGAATTACTCAAACAGCAAATGTTTTAATCAGCTGTTACTATGGTAACCCAGGGGAAAGGTGTCAAGATGTTTTATGACTCCATAGCAATGCAACCTGTAACAAGTCCATCAGTGGTTCATCATAAAAAACTACAGTCAAAAGAATAGTCAGTGAAGACACAGAGGTAAATATGGATAACTCAAACAATGTAGTGTTATATGTATTCCAGTCACATGACATGCTGTAATCTTGTCACATGACCTATCTTAATAACCAATCTCTTACAGAATATCAAATAAAAATGAGTCAATGAAATATTACGTACATGTAAGTTAACAATTTGTCACATTGTTATTTGTAGGTTCAATCAAATGAGAAATGTACTGTGGCTAGTCCATC